GGTTTAATAGTTTACAGCCTTTTTATCAGCAGCATAAGAGCCACACAGAAAGTTCTAATAATTAACTCTCACACATTGGTTTAAAGTGGAACACAATTAAAATCATTGGCGTTATTCAGTGGTTTGAGTGGAGATTCTTGCTATTAATCTCAAATGACCAAGTTATCTAACTGCAGCAAACAGCTGATGTGTACTAAATGCTCATTTACAACTACACGCTTCTACCTGGACAGCATTAGTAGCTTATTTATCTAATTGTCATTCGACTCATCAACGGTCTGATTCAAGCTGTTTAAGGTCACTTTACCCTTCACTTAAGACAGCTTTCCAGCTAGTTTGTGTTTAGCAGTTCTGGGGTACTGAGTATTAGACACGATTGAGACATAAGTGTGTTTGGGACTTTTTAATCCCATTGCAATTATAAAAAAGTGTTAAACTGGGCTGAAATGATCCAGAATGGCATTCTGCCCCTTCGATTAGTGAGCAATAGAAACTTGTAGACAGGTTAATAATGCGAATGACTGTCAAATGAACCCATTCTTACTTGTGCTGCAGACTCTTGTTGCTTCCCGCGGCGGTATGGAAACACTTGCACAGTAATAAGAAAATATTGTTAGCCCACGGGCTGCTTACATCTTCAGTGAATTCATTTGGCCTTCTCTTCCCAGTGATGCGTTTATGGTGCAGATGTAAGAAAAAACGTTTCAGTCATGCTATGATACTCAGCATCCAGATAAGAGCTACTGAAGAGAAGCAAGCATAAATGCATTTTTTTTAGGTGCCAAGTCCTTTCCACTGGAACTTTTCAAACAGCTTGACAAACATGACCAAACACACAAACTGTGTCGGTGCAGTTTGTTGCACAGCGTGCCTGCTAGCGAATGTTGAGTTTCCCACTCTTAGTGTTGCGCACAGGAAAGGAAGATGAGAGGTTATTTTCAAAAGTTAGGACTGCTCACCAAATCCATTGTTCTAATTCGTTTTAAAGTTTTTAAGTCAGATATTGAATCTATGCATACTGTGCTGCTGAATTATGTTTTTGTGAAATGTTTTGCAGAACAAATTGAAGTAGGCCTAAACTCATTTTGTGCTGTGCTTTGTGTTGTGCTTTGTGCATACTGTACCAGGCAGTTTGGTGCTGATTAGATTTACTCACCAAATTCTACCTTTTATCCTTATAGTATCTACAGGTTGGATCTCATCTTTACCTCTCAGAACAGGCTCATCCATTGTCTGCCGCTCATCCAGGGCTAACACACAGACAACCATTCGCACTCACATTCACACCTATGGGCAATTTGGAGTTTCCAATAAACTTATCCCCACTAACTGCATGTCTTTGGACTGTGGGAGGAAGCCCCGGCCTGAGAGTGGAATTGAACTCTTGTTGCTGTGAGGCAAACCACTGTGGCACTGTGCTCAATTTAACCCCGAATTATGTATATGTTGTTGTTTAAATATAGCAGTTGAAACAGTGTGAAAAAGTAGTTGCAGCCTTTTGTCACATTTAAATGTTTCAGATCATCAAAGAAATTTTAATTCTAGACAAACATAGCCTGAGTAAATACAAAATTCAGTTTTTAAATTATGATTTCATTTATTAAGGAAAAAAAAAACTATCCAAACCAAACTGATCCTAGGTGGTAAAGTAATTAACTTCCTGTTTAAGTCATAAATTAACTGCTATTAACCACTATTTTTTTGAAACCTGAATTCAGTTTCACTAGCCTCACCCAGGTCCGATTTCTATTTAAACAGGACCTGTCTGACAAAGTGAAATAGGCTAAAAATGTCAAAAAGCAACACATCATGTCATAATCTAAAGAAACAACTGAAAAGCATGCCACTGATATCTATCAGTGAGGAAAGGGAAAGACATCTCTAAGGGTTTGTTGAGCCATTTCTAAGCCCTGTGAACCACAGTCAGAGCTTTAATCCAAAAAGTGAAAACAATTCGAACAGTGTTGACCTTCCCAGGAGTCGTCGCCCTACCAAAATTACTCCAACTCCACACTGATGACTTATCCAGGAGGTCACAAAAGAACTCAGAACAACATCCAAAGAACTACATGCCTCACTTGCCTTAGTTAGGGTCATGATTCAATAATAAAGAAGAATCTGAGCAAAAATGGCGTCCATGGGAGGGTTCTAAGGAGAAAAACACTGCTGACTGAAAAGAACTCAATCACATGTTTGAGGGGAAAAAAACATCTGGGATACTCTTTGGACTGGTGAGACAAAAATTGAGCAGAACCAAAAATGGGCTTTTTGGGACGTTTGCATCATTTGGCATAAAACTCACATCAACAGTCAGACATGGTGGTGGCAGTGTGCTAGTGGGCCGGGGCTGCTTTCTTACTTCAGGACTTGATACAAATTAGTTATAATCGATGGAACCATGATTTGTGCTCTCTATCAGACAATGATATAAATGATTCTCCTGAAGGAGAATACCGAGCCATCAGTTCATGCCCTGAAGCTCAAGTGCACTTGTGCACCCACTTATGCAGTGGGTCAGTGATCTGAAATACACCAGCAATGGTGTGAATGGTTTGAAAAACAAAATGAAGGTTTTGGAGTGGCCTTGTCAAAGTCGGAGTCAAATCAGATTGAGATGCTTTGGAAATGATTTATATTTTAGTGTGGCTAATGTGCAAACGAAGAAATAAAGAAGCAAGCAAATATCTTTTCACAGTGCTGGAGCTACAAAAAAAGACCTTAAAAGATTTAACTCAAATGTACTATATTTTATACCTGGCAGTATAGTGGTTGGCAATGTTTTAGACACCACCCATGGCCATAAGAATGGATGGATAGTTTTATAACTTGTAATATTTTATATTTTTGCCTTTTACCTGTAGAAAATATTGAGAAACTGAGAAATTTGTCTTTTGAACAAGTTTTTGCTGGGTGAGCTGTGATCATCGTCTTTTTGTAAGCAAAGCAAACATTTTTCTAAGTAAAGCAAAACTAAACATATAAAATACATTTTTATGCAGGTGACATAGTCCTGTATGGACAGAACTCTTCAGCGCCAACTTATCAAACTAAGGATTGTATTTTTCCAGTGTTTTTCAGACATGTCTTAAGATCCTCAAACTTGTACTGATTGATGACAAAACAAAAACAGTACTTTCTACACTATGATCTTCTAATCTACATATGTTGGGATATTGACACTGAAAAAAGCATGGTGCAAAGCCCTGTCGTGTCATGCATCTTAAAAAGGTGCTTAAGGAAAGAATTTGTAGTAATTATTATGCCAGTTGGTCTTCATGTACAGTAAGTAAGTTAAAACTTCATACTGTTGTTCTGGTCTTCCATTTAGGCTGTGGCAAAAAACAAACAAACAAAACAGTACTGGTGATATATACAAACGCTGCAGCATCAAGAGTTTCACCAGAGGTAAACAGCTAAAAAAAAACCAGAGTGTAAAGGCGGGTTACACTGCAGGGTGCTGAGGGGGCTCATGGTCTGCAGAGAGGAGCTGCAGAACTGACCTGAGATGCTGCAGTACATTTTGCTAAGAAGCAAAGGGGGTAAAGATAACTGTTGGGAGGAGCATCTGTAGGGCCTTTAGCCCATCTCCTGGATGTGCATGGCAATACAGAGGCAAAGAGAAAAACTGTTACGCTCACAAGCAAATTTTTCAGCTTGATTTCTTCAGCTTTGAGGACTGATTTAGTTGCAAATCTGTGACTTTTACACCCCTCTTATTCCATTCTGACTGTTTTCAGGTACGTGCTGCTGCTGCTCATTCTGTTCTTTATCCCGGGAGTGGTGATGAGTATAGCCTATGGTCTGATCTCCAGAGAGCTCTACCGGGGCATTCAGTTTGAGCTGGGCCAGAGCAAGGAGGCAACTGGTGAGATCCATTATACATTTAATCCAATTGTGAAAGGATTGTTGTTTGCATTGATTTAACTTGTAGTGAAGATGAAAAATCACTTTCTCCAGACCCAAATGGGGCTGCCGTAAATTACAGGTGGAAGGCAGGAAACAATCAGAAGGGCCAGTAAATGTTCCCCGACTATAAATGGCTAGTAAATATAAGACATATGCTATTGTGAAAATAAACATGTGCCTATTTAACTTTTATTGTTATGCACTTAGATAGCACACTGTCATTTCCAGGCAACAGCAGCAAATAAATATTTCTACACACATACAAAGGGACATTTGTGTAATCTGCCTCAAGCAGAGAATGACATATTTTGTTGCTACCTGGAGGTTCTGCACCTGTTCCATCCAAAAATATACCCCACTGTCCTTGGACCCACTCGGGTTGTTGTCTTGCGGCTGATATTTTCCATTTAAACAGAAACAGAAAAAAATATATCTGTTATGGCTGAAATACGGTCACTTTAGGTAAATTATAACTGCTGCCATAACTGTGTGTATCAGCAGCACCAGTTTCCATGGAGTCCAGTCTTGAGTGTGATTCATCAAGGTGGGGAACATGTGAAACAGAATTCAGTAGTGATGGTAATTTATTACTGAAATAAAATTAGAAAATAGATCGTAGCAAAATAAACTTCCATCCTTGCATGGAATTCCACATGGAGTTGAATCGTATAGAGTTGGGTTAGGGTTATTTTAAGCTACGGGATAATTATGTAATTTTCAGACACTAGCAGACGGTGCGTTGCAAATCAGGTTTTACATTTTGGTTGGCATCACAGTCATTTTGTTTAAATGTGTTTCATTCAGGTGTTCTAAAAAGGTGAAAGTGAATGAACCTTTCAAAGCCATTGCCACATTGTTTCCACTGTAGAAGTGTGAACAAACAGAAATGAAGGTTAAAGTGCTCCAAGCAATTTGTTACATTGTTACACTACTGAGAAATCTAATGTCATTAATGCTTAACTTTGGAAACGTTACACCCAACACTGCATGTGAAGTAAACCCAAACACACCTGCTAATCCATGATTAAGATCAGAGGAAAGCCTGGTGTCTGCCTGACGTCTCTTCCTGTTAAAAGGGAGTTCTTCATCCCCTCCGTTGACTAGTTCTTGTTCACATGGGTTATACATAGAGTGTTTGAGGGTAAGATTTAACAAAATAAGTATTTAAGATTAAGTTTAGAAATGTTATTTCATCCATCCATCCATTTTCTTCCACTTATTCAATTCAGGGTTGCAGGGAGGGGTGGAGCCTATCCTAGCCACAATTTTATTCATTTTACAAATTATTAGATTATTTCATTAAAGATCATGAGGTAGAATATATTTTAGAATCTACTAATAAACAAATAGTGAAATTAGTTCTCCAAACTGTGGACATACTGACGCTATGTGTCAAAATGTCGGTATGTTACGCTTTCAAAAACATGAGAACCATTTGGAATGAATCCACACATGTACATTTATTTTACCTTCTTATCATGAATCACTTTGGAAAACACTATCTGATACGGTTAAGGTTAGGGTTAACCTAAGTTTGGGTTAGGGCTGGAATACATGCCTGGACCGTTGGTATGTGACACGTTGGGAATGAGAATGCTCTGGTTTTCCATTCGTTTGTAATCCATTTTGTCAGGGCTCAATAACTAATCCGTGACTCATACAGCCTCATACTCATACAGCCTGCATTAATAATTCATCTTCTATCTAACTACAGTCTGCTAGCCGCTATGTTTATGATAACAGGTAACTAATGTGGCTACCGGGTAATTGCTAATAGCTAAACAGCTAACCGCGTGCTGGCCAGGATAGCATTTATGATAACTGTTTAATACTTAAATGTTGTTGAAACGGGAGATTTATTGACCCCTGAAATTCCTCCTAAAGGGTTTGTTCAGTGTTATGAAATTTATCCACTTCAGTTGTTAGTGAGGGAAGGTGGGGTGTTTCTAACTGTCTGCAGCTGTGTCAGCTGGAGGAAGCCAAGATGTATTGTAATCATGTGTCACCTGTTTCTGTTAATGACACGTGATTTCAGGTGACTCAAACTTACGCTTTCCCCCTGTACTTCTACAGGCCAGAAAAATGGTGTAGACAAACCTTTGACAGGGCCGAATGACGATGATGATGGCTGCTACATCCAGGTATCCAAAAAGCCCTCCTCTTCTGTGGAGCTTCCCACCCTCTCTGCCTCATCTAGCACCGTGCAGGTCAAGACTGAGCGCGCCCGCAGCAACACCTCCGAGGCTAAGCTGCAGGCTAAGAGGCGCGTCATCCGCATGCTGATGGTGATCGTAGCACTCTTCTTCATCTGCTGGATGCCCTTGTTCACAGTTAATACCTGGAAAGCCTTTGACATGAAGTCTGTCACCAAAGCCCTCTCGGGAGCACCCATCTCTTTCATCCACCTCCTGTCCTACACGTCGGCCTGTGTCAACCCCATCATTTACTGCTTCATGAACACACGTTTTCGCAAGGCTCTGCTGTCCACTTTTGCCTGCTGCGGTCGCAACCGTCTGTGCCGCAAATGCTGTTGGCGCAGCGGGAGGGAAGGTGGGGAAGACGGCATCAACGCCACCTCCATGGGCGCATCGATGGCGACCTCAATGTCCAAGTTCAGCTACACCACTGTAAGCACCACCGGCACCTGCTAAGCCTCGAGGAGGGCCGGGTGGTCGAATCAGTGGCTGTGGTTACAGTGTATGTGCCATCTGTTTTATTTTTTCCCTGTTTTTTTTTATTTTTAATCTTCTGTTTGTCACTCTTCATCTTATTGTGGTGTGAGTCATGTGCTGAGTAATATCCATGCCCTTGCTTAGAGGTCTTTTTCAAAGGTCTTCTTTAAATTCTTCGTGCATGGTTGCAGAATGTGAAGTGGAGAAAATACTGTTTCTTTTTTTGGTGACATCCTCCAGTTTAACTGGCAGCATCTGCTTTGTTGCATCCTGAAAAGAACATCAAGTGCCTGTGCTCTTTGTGTGGCTTTGTTTGTTCGCTAGCTGGGACGGACATTTTAGTGGGAAAACTATGTTGAAAATATAAATTCTGTGTACATATTATTCTGTCTTTAAGTTTACTTAAGGTTAACGTTTTGATGGAGACTGCTAAATAATGAAGACCCGCTAACCTACAGCGAATGGAAGGATTTCGGTTCCATTTTTGTTCATCTTCAGTCATTCAGGGCATCTCTTTCTGGTGCCAGTATTATTATTACTATTATTTTATTTTTATATTCATTAATCATTGATCTTATCATTAATATTAATTCTAATTTATCACTAGCCTATTTGTTTATATTTTTTCCCACTTGATATTATGGCTTTTGAATGAGTACCACCATATTTGGCCACAAGTAAAAGTTTTAATGGAAATGAAGTATAATATTGTTTTTTGGATGACATAATTGATCATTAACCTCCTAAGACCCAAACTTTTTCATGGCATGCATTTATATTTTCTCTTTGCTATTTGGGCTCATTGGGACCTGATGAATGTAAACACAAAGAATTACATGATTTTTTCTTTGCCTGATTTTTGTTTCTGAGAAAAATGAGATCCACATACGAGGACGTTCGCTTTAAATTCCGATAGAACAGTGGCAGTCTAACGTCCTCGTAAGTGGATATCAGGCCCTTGTACAGCAAAATTTTATATTTTGGTCTAGACAACAAAAAATGTGATGTCCACACATGTGGACGCCAGGTCCTAGGAGGTTAATTAATTATTGTGCTGTTTTGGGTAAACTGGGTAAATGTTTCCCCCCCTACACTTTCTTATACTACAGAAAGGAGAAAGGAACACAAGTTTTTAATCTTTCTATGTAATTAAAAACCTCAAAGTGTACAATAAATGGCCCAAAAATCCATATCTCTTCATATACTTACAAATGTGAGAGCTTTAATGAAAGAGGCTGTTCGTCCGCTTATTCTGCTTGTTTGAGGGCTGGTGGTAAGTGCATATCAGAAAATGTGAATCTGCTTGAAATCTCTGCAGCACAAAGTGCAACAGTTTAGTTGGGAATATCTAGCTAGTTTCTTCTTAAACTCACCAAATCAAAAGCAACTACTGTAGCGACTCAGCAGCAGTTTTAGAGGCTTTGCGGCACCTTAGAGGTCAACCATTCTCATGTTTAACTAAACTAAAGCGTTACATGTGTAATATATAACCAGCTGTTGAGAAGGTGAAACAGAGAGAAAGCACAAATATTTGGTGAAAACCTTGCTAATAGCTAGCAAGAATGCTATAATGTAAAGCTGATCCTTCAGGGAAACAAAGGTATGAGATGGTCGGAGATAGTTGTTCAATGCAGAAGTTTACCTACCTGCTAAGAATGAAAGGGGACCTGTTATTCTTTGCCTTACTTTATGTCATATGTGTAATGTATTAATGGTTGTTGTTCATGTATAGCAAAGGATCAAATACTTAGGCAAACATACATAAAATTAATCGCTGAAAGCAGAATGCTCAAGCTGTAAACTGAAGAGAAAATGAATAATTTATATTAAAAAAATTGGCAGCTGACCCCCAAAAGGAACAAGAAGGATGTTTACAAGGCACTGGATGCCCCTTTGCAGGCTTCTGAAAGCTGGCCAATCAGAGGAAACTGGGAAAGGAGGGAGCATAAAAAACATGAGAAAAAATGCCCCACAATCTAGCTTGGACAATGCAAAGCTATATCTGTGCATGAGGATAACAAAAAAAGGTTGGTAATTAGAGTAATAGGTCCCCTTAACAGAAACATGTTCAATGGGAAGCAGGAGAGGAGGGACTGGGAATGGGAAATGTTAATAGCTTGGAAAGTTTGCAAAGTGTGTTTATGTGTTGAAATTGCTCTAGAAACCTCTTCGTTCAGTGTTGTATTGTACATGCGGTCATGCTGTCATGTCCAGAACTGAAAATAAAATAAAAACTAAATGAAAAAATAAATCAAAGAGTGGAGTATTTTTCTCCTTTAAAATGTTTTTTTTCCAGTAAATCTTAATTACCCCCCCCCCCCCCAAAAAAAATAAACAAACAAACAAACTTTGTTATCATTCAGTTAATAATGTTACAATATAAGAAATTGACTGTACCAATATCATTGTAATTCCATCATTAGCAGTCAAAGGGCTATTTGGAGGCAGCATGAGAGAAGAAAAGGCAGGAGTGTAGCTGTGGGAGTGGGGACTTTAAATGTAGTCACTATGCCTGGTAAAACAAGAGAGCTGGCTAATATGATGGAGAGAAGAAAGGTAGAGGTATATTGTGTGTGCAGTTGACCAGGTGGAAGGCAAGCCAAGCCAGGAGCACTGGAATTGGATTCAAATTGTTCTACAATGGTAGGAAGCAGAAAAAGCAAAATGCAGTAGGAGTAACCTTAAAGAAAGAGTATGTTAATTGTGTTGTTGAGGTGAAGGTTACACAGGGTAATGAGTTTGTAGCTGGTAACCCAAGGTTTGATGCTGATTGTTGAAGGGAGATAATAAAGGCTGGATGCCAGAAGAAAAGGAGGAATTCTGGTGTAAGTTGGGTGAAGTGGTAGAGATTGTCCCCAGGAAGATAGACTGGTGATTGGAGTGAATTTCAGTAGACGTGTAGGTGACAAGGTGTTTGATAGGTATGGTGTTAAGAATAAAATGCAAAACTCTGGGTGGTAGGTGAAAACAGCTCAAGTGAGGGAAACTGCCAAGAAGGTGTTTGGTGGAATAGGAATATAGGACAGGAATATGATAATAAATAAAAAAGTGGGATGGTCAAGGAGATGAAGAAAGTCTACAGGAATACTGGGAGGCATAGACCA